ACTGCCATCTGATCTGGTTTCTAGCCAGCCAGCAACGTTCGCTTCGGCAGTCACGAGGGAGGTAAGGAGTGAAACCTTACCTCGATCGTTTGATCTGAATTGAACGGCCTACATCAAGTCAACCCTCTCATTGCGTCATGGCGCGTTCATGTTTTGGTGTTTCCATTTGCGTCAGACATTGCAGAAAAATAATGAATGTCTTTGGTTAGCGATCGCACATATCGGATGCACTGTAGAGAGCTACCATTTTTAGAGTGAAGCACAGCTCTCAGAACTGTGTCGCGATACTTTAGTGTAGCGGCTGCAGTGTGAATGTATGTCGCGCGAACACAACGCGTTAAACAGGATAATCAGCACGCAACGCGGCAGTTATCGGTGTTATTCACATTGTTTTGTTAAGCGTCATTCATAAATTGTCGGCGCCAATGGCTTAGGCTTAGCGAACTGGCTTCGTAACGCGGAGATACCCGTTTGGATTCCAGCTTCAGGCTGTTTGTGTGTTGGTTACGGCAGTGGTGTCGAGTGCCGACCGCTTAAGAACAATGACAAATTGCTGAACTTAAAATTGCTCAGTAAAACCAGTCACAAGATGCTGGGGTTGGTTCTGCACGCTATGTAGGAACTGATCTCATAAATTACATATCTAGGGAAATGTTGTAAATTGTAATATAAAGGAACAGTTTTCAGCCATGAAAATTGCGTTTTTACAATTTACGTTCATAAAGGGTTGGGCTAACCTCTTGTTTACCAGTAGACTGAATTACTGGGTCGTGAAATTGAATTATTTGTGTCTACAAAAGTAGGACACCAGAATGAAATTTTGGAAAGCTCTGGAGTAAAGGAGGGATTAATAAGTGGCTTTCGAATTGTAATGAATTGTAAGCGATGGTTTAACAGATCCGTATCTGGTAATTTTAAAAGAGAAACTGGTCTCTTGGCCAGCAGACAGCACGCTAGCGGCATTATGTTTTACCACGTCTGCAAACATCGCTTTTGAAAAATTTGATATGAGCGTTTGTGGATACGTGTGAAGTTTTAAGTACATATTGCATAAGATATTGCGGTATCCGAAAATGTTACCATTCCACTGAAGCGTTGCATATTTTTTTTTTCTTGTTGACAATATTGCTAACTGATAATAAAATTAAAATCAGTATCCAAGAACGGGTATTGCCTAGTGGTGTCATTAAGTTAATTAATTATTATGTTCTTCCGTCATTATTAGTTATTTTAGTTCTTTGACGAGGTCTAGAATTTAATTGAGGTGAGAGCGTTCTTACTTTTTTTTTAAATGGCTTTTTTTTCGCAGCACTAAGAAAGGAGTGATTCAATTACAGTGAAATGTAATTTAACAAAAAAAGATGTTTATAAGATTTAATGAGATTAAATTTTCTAGCGCCAACGTGTCATATAATTAAGAGACCACATCCTGGTCGATCGAAGCCTCGGCAGCACAGTGGCTTGACCCTCTAGGTTCCAGTGTCCTGATTTAGAACCCGCCTCGATGTGGATTTAAATAATAATAATAATAATTGTCTTTTTATCACGGGTATACCAATTTTCAAATGGGCTTCAGGAAATGTTCTGGAAAGTAAAGGCCGTCGATTTGTATGAAAAACTGGTTTAGCTTTGTGTAAAGTAAAAAGTAAAGGGCCCTGTTCCACGCTTTCAGGCGTTTTGGCATCAATGGCTCAACTTATATTCTATAGACCAATGGTCGACATCACGCCGACCGCCTTCACTTTCCAGGACTCTAGCTGGGACCCATTTAAGGTGGGTTCACCTGCGAGCCAAGGTCATTTTTGTTAAAAGTCCGTCTCCGTCAGGTCCTAAACCCACGACCTTCGGATCCGCAGGTCAGCGTCTTGCCGCTACACCACGCCGGCTTCATTTTCTTTACTTAGACCTTAGTCAAACATGAGTCTTTGTTGCTTTTTTTTTCCTTCTCCAGTGACTTTGACTGGTTTATAAATGGTTTATAATTGTTTTTTTGTGTGCTTGTTTTGGATGTAGAAGTTTTGGAACTAGTAACAAAAGTAACAACAGTTCACACATTATATTGATTTTATACCGGACAAAATATTTAAAAGAACAGTTGGAGATTCTACACCGGTACACATTAGCTGGCAAATTCCACCTCAAATATATACATTAATCAGTTTATTTGTGGACATATTTGTGATTTTATCCGCGATCACTTTGTTGTGTCACTGAACTGTCGTCCAACGGCATCGCACTGTAAATACCCCCTGACAATGAAAACAGAAGTTTCTAAACATTTGAACGGCGTCACGGATACTGAACACAAACTGGTAATTTCAAATGTGTATTCACACCTATGTTTGTCTTTATTAATTGATTGTGAATTTTTTTTGTGTCAGCATTTTGGTTTAAATTTAATTAGCAGTCGTGTCTGTGTATTTATGTGGATTTATTGCAGTTGATTTGCGGTATGAACGTATCTTTCATTTAGCTATTGTTTTCTTTCCTTCCAACTGTTTCGTCTCTCTCTCTCTCTCTATCTATCTCTCTCTCTCTCTCTCTCTCTCTCTCTCTCTCTCTCTCTTTCTTTCTTTCTCTCTCTGTGTGCGTGTGTTAATAATAAATAGCCTGTTCTTTATGCTGTCCTTAGTTCCTTCTTGCTGTCTCTTGTCACCCTCCACACACACATAGTTCTCTCTCCCTCTCCCACTTCCACCTCCCCCACCACACACAAGGTTGTGTCGGCATCTGTGACTTAGGGGTTGCGAATGCGGTTTGTATTTTCTTAATACCCAGTTCGATTCAGACACGGTGGGACCGCTTTGCGTTGATTCCAACAGGGATATGAAACACATGCCATTCAGAGGCAATGGTTAACTAATAACAAAATTTAACTGGTGAAATCACAAACAGCCAACAAATGCTGATGTAGATTTGCAACGGATAGTAACGGATACACTACTAACTTTCTTCAAAACGGGCCTGCATGCCCAATTTGTGACTCTTTGAAAATAAAGTTCGTTCGATCATTGGTTGATTCGTTCTGCTCATATTTCATAATGTGTCTTGTTGGTCATCATTGTATGTCCCCGGTCTTCACTCTCAGATAAAAATGTTCCTCTGTGCCCACACTATTCAACATCTTAATCTGGTCTGTATTGTCTCTCTTCTTTTCCACCTTTCCTGTTGTAACAGGATATCCATTTTAAGAGTTTCCAGAGATTGTAAACTGTTTTCTTCAACTGCTTCTGGACTTTAATCTTGTTCCAGAACTGGACTTTTGCCTTCACATCCATTTCACAGATGCTGGCCTAAATATTTGCAAACGGTTGGTTCTTCACCTCTCAGGCAGATGCACTACCACTGGAAGGAAACCCCCTAATAAGCAGAATTTTGTTGGGGGCAGTGGAGCTGGTCTCAACCCCCCCCCCCCTTCCCCCCTTTCCCGTCACCCCAACAATGTGGTCATGAACCCACATTGGGATGCCTAAGATATATGGCATAGAAAATTCTCCTTGGTGACATCCTTGCCTGTTTAGAAGTTCAGGTGACACCTGACTGGTGTAGCCTTTTATCGTTGCCCTAATTTTAACTTTTTTTTGGAGATTGAACGGGGTATATGGGATCTGCCTTGTTTGGACATTTGAAATCTCAGGATCCCCCATGTGGGTTCCGGGGCCATATTGTAGGGGAAAACAAGAATAGACCCACTGCCTCCCCAAAAGCATGTCGTAAGAGTCTACTAATTGGGGAGCTTCCTTTGAAGGCTCAGTGCATCTGCCGGAGAGGAAAGGAACCAACAGTCTGTATTCAAGAGAATGAGATCTGGAAAACTGATGCACACGCAACACTCAGGTTCTGGAGCAGGACTGCAGTTCAGTAGTGGACGAGCAACCAGAACTTTCCGCCAGAACAGCTGGTGAACGCGAAGAAGAAGAAATCTCAGGATGTATATGGTACATACCTTGAGGTAGCAGTCCAGATTGAACAAACCAATCATCAGTTGATTGATCTCTGTTACGTGAAATGCTGCTTGTGTTTGGATTACTGTTGGTCGAATGGTTCAGAATGCTGGACTTTTGTGCAGGAGACCTCAGTTTGTTTTTCTTCTGTCAGGCGCAAAAATGAAATCCAAGCCCACGCAATTCCTAGGCTCAAAGACCTTCTTGCTTATACCACATAATTCCTAGGCTCAAAGACCTTCTTGCTTATACCACACACAAATGAAATCCAAACCCACACAATTCCTAGGCTCAAAGACCTTCTTGCTTATACCACACAATTCCTAGGCTCAAAGACCTTCTTACTTATACCACACAATTCCTAGGCTCAAAGACCTTCTTGCTTATACCACACACAAATGAAATCCAAAACCACACAATTCCTAGGCTCAAACCTTCTTCCTAGGCTCAAAGACCTTCTTGCTTATACCACACACAAATGAAATCCAAAACCACACAATTCCTAGGCTCAAAGACCTTCTTGCTTATACCACACAATTCCTAGGCTCAAAGACCTTCTTGCTTATACCACACACAAATGAAATCCAAACCCACACAATTCCTAGGCTCAAAGACCTCTTGCTTATACCACACAATTCCTAGGCTCAAAGACCTTCTTGCTTATACCACACACAAATGAAATCCAAACCCACACAATTCCTAGGCTCAAAGACCTTCTTGCTTATACCACACACAAAAATGAAATCCAAGTCCACACAATTCCTAGGCTCAAAGACCTTCTTGCTTATACCACACACAAAAATGAAATCCAAGCCCACACAATTCCTAGGCTCAAAGACCTTCTTGCTTATACCACACACAAAAATGAAATCCAAACCCACACAATTCCTAGGCTCAAAGACCTTCTTGCTTATACCACACACAAAAATGAAATCCAAGCCCACATAATTCCTAGGCTCAAAGATTTTCTTGCTTATACCACAAAAGTAGGAAAATACACACAATAATGACAGGTTACAAAAAATATATGACATAGTGCTTGTTTTCTCTCCCCAGGTGGAGAATATACTGAGACCCTTGGAGGTGTCAGATGAGAAATATCGTCAAGTGGTGGAACTTATGGAAAATGATATACACAAGGGATTAAACCCAGAGACACATGCTTCAGCCAATATAAAGTGTTTTCCTACCTATGTCCGGACAGTTCCAGATGGAACAGGTACATTACCTCGATGCCTTCTGTTTTAAATTATGCATTTGTTTTCATGAACTATATCAAATTAAAAAAGCTATATAGATGACTGTAATTCCTTCAAAGAAAAAACATAAATAAATTAAAACAAAAAAAAATAGTTTTATTGATTATAACAGATCTGAAAATCAAGGAAAAATTGTCCGAGAAAGTTGAATTTATTGGCCAAATCAAGTGCTGTAGCTGGTAAACAGCATCTTGACTCAAAACTGAAATATTTTGGCCGGTAAACCCGCCTTAAATGGGTCCCAGCTAGAGTCCTGGAAAGTGAAGGCGGTCGGCGTGATGTCGACCATTGGTGCCGATTGATCTATAGAATATAAGTTGAGCCACAGTAGATTGGAAAAATAATGGCGGAGGGCATGGTTACAAGGAAGGAGGTGGAAAAATAATGGCAGAGGGCATGGTTACAAGGAAGGAGGTGGAAAAATAATGGCAAAGGTCATGGTTACAAGGAAGGAGGTGGAAAAATAATGGCAGAGGGCATAGTTACAAGGAAGGAGGTGGAAAAATAATGGCAGAGGGCATGGTTACAAGGAAGGAGGTGGAAAAATAATTGCAGAGGGCATGGTTACAAGGAAGGAGGGGCAGGGGCCAACCAGCAGGAAGATGGGCACAGGATATAAGTGACACTTTGGGTATAAAATTGTATGACGCGGGAGAACTGGCGAGGGACAGGTTTTTCACCCCAAGGCAGACTGTGACTTGAAGGAGACAGTAATCATTTTAGTCTACATTATATGAAAAGAAAAACTGGAACATTTTGTGACACCTTGAAAGAAAGGTAGATGAAAGCAATGGGAGAAGATACTTAACTTTTTCAGTCCCAAAGAATGGATCACATGTTCATAGATTATTACCTAGAAAGGCAGTCAATGCAAGATGTGTTGATTATACGCTTCTCTTTACCACTTCTTGGGCCCCTGATGCTAAACCCCATGGGACCGAAAAAGTTAACAGCCCTTTGTCATGTTATGGTGGCAGGTCAGCTCACAGACTGTTGCATACTGTTAGAGAATGCAAGATTATGTGGAGGAACATGATCACCAACACCATTAGGCAGGGCACATGATGATGATGTCTGTATGTGGGGGGTAGTGCATGTTTTTGGGTTCAACAGTTTACAAAAATGTCATTTTCTGCACAGCCTTTCATGAATTAATGAGTCTTGTGATCTTAAGCTTTAAGAAATATTTTTTTGTTTGCATTTCACATTATGCTGTATGCATGAGCGTCTGTTCTGTTGTGAATTTCATTTGTTGAACTAGGAACAGTCACAGCATGTGAGACATTTCCATCATCCCTTCGTCTCTGTCTTCAGCAGCCATTGAAGAGTTCCAATTCTAATAGTACCAGTAGCAGTTTCAATATGTGTTCTTCTTGCCCTCCCTCTTGTTGAGTCTCAGCCAGGCCCCTTGGTCACTCCACGCTGCACCAGTCTCTCCAGACCATGATGATCTGTTCATGTTTCCACATTGTTCACTTGTTGCCAGAGGGCCTTGACCACATCTAGCTGCTTTTCATTCAAGAATTCACCGCTTTTCATTCATGAATTCACCACCACCCAGTGATGGTGCACCAGCCCATCTATCTGCCTGTCTGGACACCTGCATTTTCCTGGATGAACTAGATGACCTTTGAGGCTGATGCTTGCCACTCATTTTCACTTATTGATTGGACCTGTTCAAGTTTCTAGGCCCATCTACACACTTTCTTAGTCTGATCTAGGTCAGAGGAGTGCCACGTTGTACTGCTTTCTTCAAAAAGAGTTTCTTGTGTGACCTAGATTGAGGCTATAGGGGGTGGGGGGAGGGTTGGGTTAGGGCCAGTTCTACATGATCAGCTGTGTCGTCATGTAGTATAGAGAGCACGATATCAACGCTGATGTAATTGGAGGGAAGACAATGTGACATCCCTCTGACATAGAAGATTCTCAGAAAGTATAAATGCAAATTTAGGTAGTGTGTAGATGGGCCTGGAAATGTGAACAGGACCCTTTTGCTTCAGAAACTAATCTGATTTGATCTGTGTTAGTGTGTTTTCTTGTGAAGTAAATTGAACAAGGTTTTAAACCTACGAGTAAAAAAAAAAGATCCTACTGACAATATATAGATTTTGATGTAGAAACCCCAGTGTAGGGAAACATTTTATTATGTAATTTATAAAGTGATCGTTAAGGACAACTATGATAAGAAGTCTCATCTTATTTATTTGCAGATATTTACTACCTGTGAAAAAAGCATACAGCCATAAATAACACAGTGTAATACACATCTGTATTAATATAAAAGTTTAAAAAAAAAATAAGAAGTGTATACAAATTTTACAAATTATTTATATAAATATAAAAAAATAATTAAAAATATAAAATTATAAAAGTAAAGGACACTGTTTACATCATTAGTGTATCAGTCAAGCAGTGCTGGACCTATGTACTTCTACAGACCAGTGGTCACTTGATAAGTGATGTGGTTTACATCATTAGTGTATCAGTCAAGCAGTGCTGGACCTATGTACTTCTACAGACCAGTGGTCACTTGATAAGTGATGTGGTTTACATCATTATGTATCTTCAAGCAGTGCTGGACCTATGTACTTCTACAGACCAGTGGTCACTTGATAAGTATCATGTGGTTTACATCATTAGTGTATCATCATCAAGCAGTGCTGGACCTATGTACTTCTACAGACCAGTGGTCACTTGATAAGTGATGTGGTTTACATCATTAGTGTATCAGTCAAGCAGTGCTGGACCTATGTACTTCTACAGACCAGTGGTCACTTGATAAGTGATGTGGTTTACATCATTAGTGTATCAGTCAAGCAGTGCTGGACCTATGTACTTCTACAGACCAGTGGTCACTTGATAAGTGATGTGGTTTACATCATTAGTGTATCAGTCAAGCAGTGCTGGACCTATGTACTTCTACAGACCAGTGGTCACTTGATAAGTGATGTGGTTTACATCATTAGTGTATCAGTCAAGCAGTGCTGGATCTATGTACTTCTACAGACCATTGGTCACTTGATAAGTGATGTGGTTTACATCATTAGTGTATCAGTCAAGCAGTGCTGGATCTATGTACTTCTACAGACCATTGGTCACTTGATAAGTGATGTGGTTTACATCATTAGTGTATCAGTCAAGCAGTGCTGGACCTATGTACTTCTACAGACCAGTGGTCACTTGATAAGTGATGTGGTTTACATCATTAGTGTATCAGTCAAGCAGTGCTGGACCTATGTACTTCTACAGACCAGTGGTCACTTGATAAGTGATGTGGTTTACATCATTAGTGTATCAGTCAAGCAGTGCTGGACCTATGTACTTCTACAGACCAGTGGTCACTTGATAAGTGATGTGGTTTACATCATTAGTGCATCAGTCAAGCAGTGCTGGACCTATGTACTTCTACAGACCATGGTCACTTGATAAGTGATGTGGTTTACATCATAGTGCATCAGTCAAGCAGTGCTGGACCTATTACTTCTACAGACCATTGGTCACTTGATAATGTGATGTGGTTTACATCATTAGTGCATCAGTCAAGCAGTGCTGGATCTATGTATGTACTTCTACAGACCATTGGTCACTTGATAAGTGATGTGGTTTTTACATCAATTAGTGCATCAGTCAAGCAGTGCTAGACCTATGTACTTCTACAGACCATTGGTCACTTGATAAGTGATGTGGTTTACATCATTAGTGTATCAGTCAAGCAGTGCTGGACCTATGTACTTCTACAGACCAGTGGTCACTTGATAAGTGATGTGGTTTACATCATTAGTGTATCAGTCAAGCAGTGCTGGACCTATGTACTTCTACAGACCATTGGTCACTTGATAAGTGATGTGGTTTACATCATGTCAGCATGACACATTTGTGCATGGTTCTAAAACGCAACACAAGCCTGATATTTTTCCATTTTATTTTTATATAAAATGCATTGTTGTTAAAGAATAACTAGAACGCAATAATGAATGCATACAATTATTTAAAATGAACTTTTAAAGAAAATACATTTATTTACTTTCGTTTTTTTTTTTTTTTAAATTAAAAGGCAAGGCTGCTTATGATGATCCTAATCTGAGATTTTAAAATATTCATTAGGACCAAATGTAGCATGAATAGTGTTAAGCAATTAAGTTGATTATTGCAATGATCACTTGTATAATATGAATAGTGTTAAGCGATTAAGTTGATTAATATAAATATCACTTGTATAATATGAATAATGTTAAGCGATTAAGTTGATTAATACAAATATCACTTGTATAATATGAATAGTGTTAAGCAATTAAGTTGATTAATACAAATATCACTTGTAGAAGAGAAAAGGTATTTGATTATTGATACAATCCGTAATTTTAAAGTAGATTATCCTGCTCCCCATTTTAGTCCGGATGGACAGGGATGTCAATGTCAGTTAAGCAACAACAAAAATATCGCCAGGTAATGATTTTCAAATCCTTCGAAGAGGGAGAGAGCAGTAGTCGGTGGAAGAGGGGAGGGTAATGACTTAAATTTAAGAGAACTTAAAGAGCTTTACACGTGATTTTCAAGTTCTCATTACCTAATTTATTTATATTTCACTATTGCTACCTCCGCTTTTCTATTTTTTACGACTTACTTTGTTATTTACAAGTACAGTTGTAGCTTTACTTCCGTCTCCTATAAAAATACAAACAGCTTTAGCATGTGATAACCAAATAACCATTTTTGTTACTGTGCTAATAACACCATTTAAACGACCAATAATATAAAGACACAATTATAAGGTGCGTGTTCTAAAGTTGGAAAACCAGACTATCTCTATATCTGTGCAGAAAATGATTGCGGCATTAACTATATCAGACACGGGCGATTTCCATTGTCTTTCTTTTCCAAAAACCTTTGATGAGGGAGAGAGTAGTAGGTGGATTTAGTTGTGGTGGTGGGGGGGGGGGGGGGGGGGGGGGGGGGGGGGGGGGTCAAAGACTATCTCTTATCTGAGCAGACAATGATTGTATTAAACACGTGCGATTTCTATTTTCTTTCATTTCCATTTAGCCAAACTATGCCACAGCAACGCGTGGCCGGGTACAGCTAGTAGTCAATACAAATCAGCAGTTTTAGATATAAAAATATTTATCATTTTCTGAAAAGACCATTTTACCTAGTGGTACAAATGTCAGTTGAAGAAAAGAATATCTACAGTGACTAATTATTGTTTAAAATAAAGATGTTATTTACTTATAAGGGATGATAATGACAGTATCCTGTGTTTAAAATCAAGTCAGTGAATAACTTTCAACTTGTTTCCTTTTTTTTTTTTTGTATCTGTTTAACAGAAGAGGGAGATTTCCTTGCTCTTGATCTTGGTGGAACCAACTTCAGGGTACTGTTGATTAATCTGAAGGGTCAGGAGGTGACAATGGAGAGCAAGATTTTCATTATACCACAACATATAATGTTAGGATCTGGTGTACAGGTAAGCAGCCATGGTCCTAGGCATTGTTGACATAATATCAAAGGAAGTAAAGTAAAGTAAAAGACACTTTTCCATGCCTCCATGAATATAGGGCTAGACCTATATTTGTATAGACCATTTGGCACTCCTCAGGTGATGTGGTCAGCGTGCTCCGGCATATAGTATATATTCCTTGTGTGGGTTCCCGGGCCCAGGTTGGGGAGGGGGCATGTCATAAAAGTCGGCTAAATAGGGATGTTACCCTCAAAGTTGAAATGTATCTGCCTGAGATGTGAAGATCTAGTCTGCATACAAGTAAGCTATATCTGTAAAATGGATTTGCATGCAAAGCTCAAGTTTTGGAACAAGACTATAAGTCTAGAAGTGGACAAAAAAACCAAAACTTTCCATCGGGGTTTACAGCCAGTGAACACAGTATGTCTTGTCAGAGCCTAGTGTTGTGTAGAGGGCAAATATTTTGATGGGGATATTGCTTTGTCTTCTTCAGTTCACCATCTGTAAACTGCATGGAAATTCATGGTGGTTCATCCACTTCTGGACTTTGGCCTTGTTGCGAGGCTTGAGCTTTGTATGCACTCTCGTTTACAGATCTGATTTTTATGTGTGGGTAGGCTGTTGATTCCTTGCCTCTGAGACAGATGTACTCTGACTCCGAAGGAAATGTTGATCCTTTCTACATTGACCAGGCACCCGGTAGGGAACTTGTTTCTAAGATGACTGCAAAGAAGTGGGGTTAGGCCTTGACGAGTATGAGCCCTATTCTTGGGGCACCACCACATTTGGTTTGCACCTCTCCATCACTAACGGGCTATTTGGAAGTGCTTATAAATCTTGTACAGTTTTTTTTTTTTAAAATTATTATTTTTTAAACTAATAAAAAATTTTTTTTTTACTTTAACACACACACACACAAAATACATTAATAAATAAAATCTTTGAAGTGCATTGGGTAAATGGTGCGTTCACTGCAACTTAAATATAACTTCTGGGAACTTAAATAACAGGAATATTCTTAGTATCTTGTACCTTTAAAAAAAAAAGGAAGGATACTGACATTCTTTATAATATGAATATTGAATGGGACCGGCTAATAAACAGCATTGTCATTAGTAAACTAAAAACTTTGACTGTGAAATTCCAGAATGATTTGCAGAGAATGGTAGTGGAGGTGGAAAAGTTGTTAGGGGACCAGAGTGCTTTCCGGCTTACTGGGCTGTGAGCAGCATTTTGCCCATGACCTGCTGCATGATGATTAAGATTGAAATAACAAATTACCTAAATGTCTCTTTCCACCTTTCCCTCTGTAGACACCCCCACAGCCAGTCGTTACATAGGAATAGGCCCTGGGGTTTTATCACTGAGAGGTGACAAAATGACAAAAATATGTGCTTTTGAAATAATATGTTGAGGGAGATGGGGGGGGGGGGGGGGGGGGGGGGGGGGGGGGCTCTAAAAAGAAATTGTTACCACTTGACCTTGCTGCACCACTTCTTCTTCTTCTCTTCTTCTTCTTCACTTCCTCTTTTACCGCTGTAGGTGTTGAGGGAGATATAAGGTTCTGTCTCTAGCTCTTCTGGCCGCCTCAACCATAGGCACATCGTGCTGTTGTAGAATTTCTCTGATGTTATCCTTCCATCTTGTTCTTGGTCTACCTCGTGCTCTACGTCCTTCTTCTCTTTCCATGTATGCTTTGTATGGTATGGTGTCACAAGGCATTCTCTCTAGGTAGGCAAACCATTTCACAGCTACATCACTGCCTCCGCATATTTTTCTTCTTTACTTTCATGTCTAAATCACTTCTTCATAAATGGTTTCATGACAAGCTAGATGAAGTCAAAGCCATTTAGGAATGTGTGAATGGTCTAGAAATACAAGTAAATCATCATAGTCTGAAGAGAACGATGTAGTGGGAAGTGACCAGGGGATCTTGCCAACACTGAACACTCAGAGGAGAAGCAAAGCAGACATACAATCAATACGGAATGCTACTGGTACTATCAGAATTCGTACTGTACTGGTTGCTGAAGATGGGGATGGAGCGCTTATAGGATTATCTTGAGTGCTGTGATGTCAGTTAACTCAGCTCATTTTCCTCTTCCCATCAGTCTTGCCACTTCCTGTCTCATCTCTTGTGTATTTTAATGATTGTATTGTGATAAAGATAATGGTCAATTGATTAGCTGTCAGAAGTGAAGTTATGTTTACAGCCTGTAATGAAGATGTACCTTTGTAATTACATCTGCAGCTCTTTGACCACATAGCAGATTGTATCTTCAAGTTCATGTCGGACCACAAGCTTCACGATCGCCATCTACCTCTTGGGTTTACCTTTTCCTTCCCTGTCGCCAGGAAGGCCTGGATAGGGCCATTCTCACCACATGGACGAAAGGTTTTAAGTGTGAGGGTGTTGAAGGACACGACATTGTACAGCTGTTGCACGAGGCTATTGCACGAAGGGGGGTCAGTATCTTCATTGCAAGTTGTTATATTGATTTGTAACTGTTAATTTGTTAGCACTGCGCCAAAACAGTTGTTACTTTAAGCTGATAAATGTTAAGTCCAAAAGAGTTCACACATGGAGAAGGGAGCTAGAGAACCAAAGTTAAAAAGATGGGGAGGGCATGGGGAGAGCTGCATGTGATATCAAAGGAGAGTATGACTTGGCGTGAGTTGGTTGAGGGCTTATGCTCCATTGGGGGCTAGAACGGCAGAAGAAGAAAATAGATCATATAACAACTCTACCATCATCATGATCATCAATCAGCAGGTCCGTTACAGAATGTCGCTGTCATCCCGGCACAGGGCCATTACAGAATGTCCTGTCATCCCGGCACAGGTCCACTACAGAATGTCCTGTCATCCCGGCACAGGTCCACTACAGAATGTCCTGTCATCCCGGCACAGGTCCGTTACAGAATGTCCTGTCATCCCGGCACAGGTCCGTTACAGAATGTCCTGTCATCCCGGCACAGGTCCACTACAGAATGTCCTGTCATCCCGGCACAGGTCCGTTACAGAATGTCGCTGTCATCCGGGCCCACCTGAAAGTCTCTCTCTTTCTTTAGCCAATTCTCCAGTCTTGTATACTTTCAAAGCCGATGCATCTTCAGTGTCTTGTGTCCACCTTCGCGGAGGTCTGCATCTGCATCATTTTCCGAAAACTGCCCCTTATGACCATTCTCTCCAGGCCGCTGAGATGTTGAACATGCTTTCAGGTGGGTTTGCTGTTTATGTGCTGATTCTCCTCAACAACTCTACCAGACAGAAAGAATTTAAGTAACAGCTAGGACAGAGTGGGATAATGTGACAGCTGGAAAAGGCATTAGTACATTGAAAAAAGCATATAATTCATAAATTTACCAGTCAATAATTGATGTATTGCTTGGTATTGATTGAGCGGGTGAAGGGGTGGAAAAAATTTACAAGGTGCCATTAAATTTGTAAGGTGACATTGAATTTGAAAGGTGTCATTGAATTTGTAAGGTGTCATTGAGTTTGTAAAGTATCATCAAATTTATGCAAGCACAATATATTTTTACATATGGTTGACATAATGACTTTCTTTCAGGACATGAAGAATGTCAAGTGTTTGGCTGTCATTAACGACACAGTAGGAGCTCTGATGTCATGTGCTCATAGTGACCGACAGTGTGCTGTTGGTCTTATTCTTGGTAGGTTGTTGACAATGCTCTTTCTCATTAAATGTAATTGTCCAGTGTGCACATCAGCGTTACAAGAGTCAGCAGTTTTTTTTTTTGACAGGCGTCAATAGTTTCATAGATTAACTGTTGATTCATGTTAACAGTCAAAGGAAAAGGTGCAACAGCAACACGTATTCATTGAGGCAAGAAAAGCACAGAAAGATGCATGTCAAAAGTTTACTTTTGGTAACAAGTTATAATGCAAAGGACATTACCATCATGAAGCATTTTCTTTGTAGAGCATTGCACTCGTGAGAATCCCCTAGAAAGACTCTTGATTGGTCTCCAGTTCCTCTATATCATGAAAATTCCTGCTCTTTGGTGTCATTTATGGCTTTTATTGGTGGCTCCCAGTTTCTAAGATGTACATATCCTTTTATTTTCAAAGGATTGTCATGGACCTTTTACTTTTTAGTTTTAGTAATCGTGTAGAAAAATTAATTGTAATATTTATAGATATTGGAAACGCCCCCAAAAAAAAATGCATTCCGAAAATGCAGTTTTCTCTGTATCAAGGACATTTGAAATCTCTCCTACCCACCACCTTTCATTTATGTGAGAAACACAGTCACATTGGGTGTGGCTGAATAGTTATGGTGTCCAGCTTCTGGTTTGCATGACACCATTGGGCTGCAATAAATTTGTTCAAACAAAATCAGTGATATCTAATGAAGTCTCATTTCCTCTTGATCTTTTGAGTCATGACACTGGTTACCCAGCCTTCTCATATCAGACATAGATGATAAACAGGAGGTTCAAGTCCACATTAAACATTTCATGGCAATGAGAAATCACAAAAGTTAGCCATTGTCATTAGGTGCAGTGTCAGTTTCTCTGCTCAATTAATGTAACTGGTTCACTGTATTGATTACATGTAACTTGAGTAAAGCTTACCTCATCTTGAATCCATAGTAAGCATGAAATTCAGCTGATGTAGAGTAAAATCTATACAGGTGTATGTAATGTAGAATTTGTTCAAATTTACCTTGAACAGGAACAGTTTTTGAAACTGAAATCAGAGACTTGGTAAGAATATACTTATTTCCCTTGCTGTTTTGCTCCCCTACTTCTGTTTGATTTGCAATTGTATTTTTGTTTTTGTTTCAGAACTTGTTAAAGTTTTTCAGTTAAATTAGTTTTTTATGCGGAATAGTTTTCTGAGTACTCAAAGATTTTGCAACTGTTGACATATATTGATGTGAATTAGTAGGGACTGGCAATGTGAAACTAAAACTTCATTGTGATTTTATTTCTTTAAAATAGCAGGTACTGCCACAAAAGCATATAATATATAATAATATATAATAGGAAATCATAATAGAAAAGCTGTAAGATTTGGCACTCTGAAAATAAATCGACAGAAGTGAAGTCATTTTGCTTGTCTTATGGGGTTGAAGGTAAATCAGATATCACAATATGTAATATAATAAACTGAGGGTGATGAGAATATCTAGTTTTAGTAAATCAGATTAAAAAAAAAAAACACTGCAAGTTGTATATGTTGGTTTTATGAGAACACAGTGACAGAATGAATATTGCTGCTAGAAGCCCTTCATCAGCACTCAGAAACAAAAAGACACAGATAATTGCATTTAAAATCTGAAACAACAAAAATCACACTTAGCATTCAAGATGTATGTGCAGGATATGTGTAAATCCTAGGACACACAAACATCAGGATATATACGGTCAAGGAAAGGACTCATACATGTATGTTTAGGGCAAAAGCAAGCTAGAATAAGTCTGGCAGACGTGTACCTCCTGAGTTTCGTAGTTAAAAACCTGTACCTCACATTAATAAAAACATTGAAAAATAAAATAGCTTATGTCATCCTTCAATTTGCCTTTACTTAATTAGCTTGTATATGAAGTATAGACTTTTTGACACTTTTAACCATCAGTAAATAAAGTTTATGCAGCATGAGTATTTGTTTCACACTCTACAGTCTATGAATTTGTTACATCTACCAGAGTTTTGTCAGTAAACCTCACAGATGACATAATAAGCAAAATGTTTGGCTTCCTGCAGTCAAACTTTTACTTTTCTAGTTATAGGAAACATTAAACCTGATTGTTTCTTTAAAAAAAATTATTTAATAAAATAAACATTTTTAGGAAAAACAAACCTTGTACATTTTATAGAAGAGCTTACACTGGAAATAATTGCATAAAGCCTTACATAGCACGATTAAGCCTTACAATTAGGCAGGTGTGCATGTGGTTTTTGTTTTTTATTTTATTTTTAAGAAACTGCCACTAAAGACACCTAACCCTGTTATACAAGCAGCGTAAAGTCTAATGTTAATTGTCTTTTCCCGACAGGTACTGGAACCAATGCATGTTATATTGAAGCTCTGGATGAGGTCAAGACTTGGGATGGAGACCACGATGAACCTAAACAGGTTTGTTCATTACAGATATTACATAATGTATTTCTAGCTTTACCTGAGGGCGACTGATCAGCAGTTAGGAAAGCTAGGCTCTCGCTCAAGAGACCCAGATTCAGATCATTTGTCCTCTTTTTCTGTCTGAGGCACAAATTAAATTATAACTGCATAATCTATGGCTATTGCACTAGCTATATAGCTCTGAATCTCCATGTCTGACACCGTTCTGAAAAGTGGTAAATACAGTGTGTGAAAAATGTTACATGGTACCCATTTTAGGCCTGGGAGATAATGTCAAATTCATAAAACATACAGCTGGATATGGATTTAAACCCATAACTTTTGGGCCAGAGGTAGACATCTAGCTGCTGCACACCATAGAAGTAAAGATAGCCTCATGAAGTTGATCACATCACACCACCCCCTCCACCAAGTATCAATTGATCGATTAGAAATATAAGTCTAGCTTTGTTTGCCTGATGCACCTTTGGCCTAATTAAAGGGTCATTCACTTTGCTTTCAAATGCAGTTAACCTGAGATAAAGGTAGAAGTGAGAGGATCCATCATTGCCGTATGGTTCAGTCAGTCTCTCTCTCTCTCTCTCTCTCTCTCTCTCTCTCTCTCTCTTTCTCTCTCTCTCTCTCTCTCTCTCTCTCTCTCTCTCTCTCTCTCTCTCTCTCTCTCTCTCTCTCTCTCTCTCTCTCTCTCTCCCATCCCCACCCCTGCAGAACATCTAGCTCCGGCGAGGATCCCTAGGGATCTCCATATAAATTGCACTCATGAACTGAACAGCACTGCTGCAAAACAAACCTATGACCTTCAGAGCGTGGGGCATACGGCTTGACCACTTCGCCACAGAGACCCCCAGTTTACCTGAGCGAAACTTACCTCTACTGAGGGCGCCAACTTTTAGTGGAGCAATGGTATAACCTCTGAATATAATGTCATCTTTGTTACTTGTCATCTATGGCTTGGATTCTCTTAGACATGTAGTCACAGACCAGATGCTTGCTCTGTCTAAATGGAGTGATGTATTAAGTGGAACTGTTGCCTCCACTAAAATAGCTGCTAGTTGGGTTTCTAGCAGTAACTATAAAGGAAATGATTCATGCTGAGTGCACCTACTTATGATGGAGTTTGGTTTAAAAAAAATGTCATCTGTGTTATCGACCGTAATTTTCCTCAACAAAAAAGGAGCCTGGACCTCCTCTTGATATTCACCGACTATAAAGTCTGGCAAAAAGTTCTGGTTGTGTGTCTGCTTCCAGACTTTGGTCTTGTTTCAGAACTTGAGTTTTAGTGTGCACATCCATTTTGTAGATATGGCTTAGTTATGTGCAGGTTGTTGGTTACTCACCTCAGGCATATGCACTCAGATTTCGGAGGAAGGAAACACCCCTAATTAGTGGACTTGCACCATGTTTGGTAAGACGGCTGTAGGTGTATTCTTTCTTACCCCGACAGTCGGATCCTAGAACTCACAAAGGAATGAAAATTATTCGACTAGCCAGTATGTTAAACACATTAAATAGATATCTAATGTTTCTGCTTGATTTATAGTTAGTTTAGCAATAGTTTTGTAAGATTACATTATTCACATCTCTGAAAGTTTCAACAGGTAACACTTTTTCCTCCAATTGATTGTAATTGCTTTTGTTTTCTTCAAACAACATCAATCAGGTACTCATTAACACAGAATGGGGAGCATTTGGCAATGATGGATGTTTGGATTTTATCTTGACAGACTTTGATAGATCCATTGACAAGCACTCCATTAACCCAGGGAAACAGATGTAAGCTGCTTGTGCAGATTGTGTATATGTTGTATAATATGTATACATGTCAGGTGCGCCACCGTCAAGAAATCTTTGGGAACCCCTTTTTAATTTTCTAAACAATTAACGTTTTCACACATACTGATTTAAAGTTGTTCTCATATTTTTAACTTCAACTCATAATAAATTTACTTTTCAGCTTTTGTACATAAAAGTACAGTCTTTCATAATGTTGATTTCAGCTATGAAAAGATGATTTCCGGTATGTACATGGGGGAGATTGCCCGTCTGGCTATCGAGAGACTAAGGAAAGCCAATCTGCTCTTTGATGGAGAAGGATCATATCATTTGTCAACAAGGGGAAGGTTCTATACAAAATATGTATCAGAAATTGAAGGGTATGTTAACATTATTTAATTTGTTAATATTTTTATATATAATCTCTAAAACTGATTGTACTTGTTTACATTTTGATTTGTATTCTCGGAAATAGAAAGTTAAGTTTCTATTCCCAGGACAGCCAAAATGTTTTAAAGTGGCTAAGATATGAAGATGTTAAGTTAGAAACATCGGAAAGAAACTTTCTTATTTTGGTCTTAGAAGGAGAATAAAATAAAACATTTTGGACTGTTGAAAAGATTTATACAAAAATAGAGGACAGTAAGAAACATTTTTCTTGATTGTACGTGACTGGTTTTGATTTGTAGTTTATTGTTCGCGTTTTGTAACAGCTGTTACACGCTGTTAACCCTATTTCTGCATACAAATAGGCCACATCTGTCAAATGGATGTGGACACAAAACTCAAGTTCTAGAGCAAAACTGAAGTCCAGAAGTGGACGAACAACCTGAACTTTCTGCTGGAGTTTACAAATGAGCCTGTTTAAAACCAAACTGGGTTAATTTTACTTGTATCTACCTGTTGCTTTTTTGTGTGTGCAGCAGAATGCTTTCACTGTGAGATAAAATCAAGAATTCTACAGCAGAAAACGTCAAGTATTATATGAAACCATATAATTCTACAACAGAACACTTTCACTGTCACATGAAACCATAAATTTATAGCCAAATACTTTCACTGTGATATGAAACAATAAATTCTACAGCAGAACATTTTCACTGTGACATGAATTTGAATTTGACAGCAGAACACTTTCACTATGACATGGATTGGGAATTCTACAGCAGAACACACTCACCGTAACATTAATGTGTGATTTCTATAGCAGAACACTCACTGTGACATGAATTTGTGAATTCTACAGCAGAACACTTTGACTGTGACATGAAATCATGAATTTTACAAGCTTTTAATATTTGAAAACTGTAATGCAGGGATGATGTTAACAATTTCACGGTGACGAAACAAATCTTTGAGGAGCTGGAACTGGTGACACACAACGAACAGGACTACAGGCTGGTCAGATATGTTTGCAGTCTTGTGTCTAAAAGAGCTGCCTACTTGGCTTCAGCAGGTAATACACAGTTTTAGGTAAACCTAATAGTGTGGCTAGGACATACGTTGAGAAAACCTGAGAAAGTATAACTAGAATAGAATGTCTTTGCACTGGAACCCATCGAAGCATAGAAACAAAGGAAGACCCAAAAAAAAAAAAGGGAGCTAAAGAGGGAAGTTAAAAAGATAGGGAGAGCTGCATTCAATAGCGAAGGATAGAATTACTTTGCATGAGTCATGGTGAGAGCCTATGCTCCTTTGGGGATTATAAATGCAGAAGAAGAAGAATGATGTGTCTAGAAATAAAAGCAGGCTAACATATTTAGATAGGTCCACTGCATGATGACTGAGACCCAGCTTTGGTGTCAGGAGATGTCTGCAGATAAGAACCAGCTTAATTGCCACAAGGTTAAGTCTATATTAGAGAATATATTCAATATCTAGAGATTTTGACCTTACTTAAATGTCAGTAAGAAAAACTGTACAGTTAAGAAGGTCAGCTTTATTGCATCCATTTTTATCCTTTATAGCTCGATCTCTCTCTGCAGAACATCTAGCCACTTAATGAGAACAGTTTTTTTTTTAAAAAAAAAATGCTGAATTCCATAGCTGTGTTGGCAAAACCCAGGGATGCCCATAAAAATTGCAGTAGTGAAGTGCGTGAAGCAATCCCCAAGACACCCACAGCCTTCGGGGGCACTAGCAAATGACTTAATGCCTTAGCCATGAAGACCCTGCACCCCCACTCCCCACCTTTCCTATCAGGAAGTTAATGTTTAGTAGTCTTGTAAATATGTGATACTTGTAAAATAAGTTCTAGATAATTATACATTTTCTAAAAATCATCTGTGAATGAAAGAGATGAGAAAGTGAACTTAGTACATATGAAAGACTAACACATCTTTAATAGTCATCCACCCACCGTTAGATGGTAGATCAACAGATAACACAGTTCCACTGATTTTGAATCTTGTCTTATATAACATGTTGTGTTTGTGCCCTATCTGCACTGCAGGTGTAGCCTGTCTACTGAACAGGATAAATAGGAAGGAGGTAACAATAGGAGTTGATGGATCCTTGTATCGGTTTCACCCATTCTTCCATGATCTGATGATGGAGAAGACTAAGGTTTTGATAAAGCCAGGTTTACATGTGAGTTCACTTCATTATCACTAACCTAGCCTTCTGCCATTGCTTTTTAGTGTTAATATTATTGTTGGTGTCTTTCCATACTGGGATACTAGATTACAATCAATGCAGAGCACGGTTTTTCAACTAAGTTTAACCACGGGTCAAAATATTGAAATGAGAATCATCACGGGCCAAAGGCTGAAGCCCCAGCATAGAAAGAAACAGTACAACTGGCAGTGATCCAGGGGCCACTTGCTAGGTCTCTGCGGCCAGGATTTTGCCTATGGGCCACTGGTTGAATAGCTCTGATGTGGAGCAAGGGAAACGTCACGCAAATAATGGTATGACAGCATTAAGAACAGCTTCTAAGAAATAAAGATTGAGTGTTGAGCTAAGAACTGCCATCATGGCACTCAGGATGTTCCCCTAAGCTCTCCATCCTCATCTTCAGCAGCCAAAGGAAATTTAGGTCAGCTTATGCAGAGCATTAAGAAGAGCACACAGATCCTTACATCTCTGCCCCCCCCCCCCCCCCTCTCATCTCAGCCAGGTAACAGGAGAAAGAAAAGAAGATACTAGACTGTCTAATATATTGACACCCTCCCCCCATCTCAGTGAGGTAACAACAGGAGGAAGAAAAGATGATACTAAACTCTAGTATATTGATCAACCCCCTCCCCCCATCTCAGTGAGGTAAAAGGAGGAAGAAAGAAGAAGATACTAAACTGTCTAGTATATTGACATACCCCCCCCCCCCCCCCCCCCCCCCGCAACAAGAGGAAGAAAAGAAGAAGATACTAAACTGTCTAGTATATTGACACCCCCCCCCCCCCCCACCCCCTTTTTTTGGGGTCATCCTTGTCCAGACATCAATAACTCTACAGTTTGTTGCAAAATGTTTGTGTTGTCATGATGTATATCTTTTTCTACAATATCTTCTTCACAAAGATGAAGAATTGATGTCAGTAAACTCAGGACCTACTTAAAAAGGCTTGCAGAAGTAGAAAAGTAGAGATATACCGCAAGAGCAGTTTCATTAGCTAACCTCTTCTTTCAGCCGAATTCAACATTGTTCTTGTCGTTATCTACATCCAGCACTTTTGCCTTCACAAGTAACAAGTTTCATTCTTTCTGTTTCCCTAGTTTAAACTAATGCTGTCACACGATGGCAGTGGCAAGGGAGCAGCTCTGGTAGCCGCCGTTGCAGACAGACTTTTGCAGAAGAAACGCCAGTTGGCTAAGGATGGTACTTCAGTGTAGAACCTTGTCTAGCTCGTAGTTGTGTACAGTCTGCGTGATAACATACTCAACTCAGTTTGATCCTGCACCACGGTCTACAACTTCTGCAGCTCGCAAGTAGCTGATGATAGTTGTTTTTATATCGGATTCACAAAATACTTAGGTACTTCTAGTTGTGCCAGATAAATTATAATTGTAACATATCTACATCATTGTCAGCAACTTTTGCAGCTAACAGGTTGCCAATGGTAGCTGTTTTGATATCAGATTCACAAAATAATTAGGTACCACTGGTTGTGCCAGATAAAACATTCTTGTAACATCAGAACGGATTCTAGAAGATGGGAATGAAATTGAACTTGTAATAACAAATGTGCTGCTAGACATGTCATTATGTCTGTGCTAAAAGTTGCTAGGAGTGTGTATGTATGTCTGTGCTAAAAGTTGCTAAAAGTGTGTATGTATGTCTGTGCTAAAATTTGCTAAGGGAGTGTATGTATGTCTGTGCTAAAAGTTGCTAGCAGTGTATGTACGTCTGTGCTAAAAGTTGCTAGGAGTGTGTATGTATGTCTGTGCTAAAAGTTGCTAGAGGTGTATATGTAGAAAGAAGTAACTTAGTAGGGTTGGAGAGAAGGATTTGTTGAGTGAAATAATTTAATATATATGTTATTTCAGCTAAATGTCTCAGACACAACAGATGTAGGTGGAAATTGTTACACAAAAAACACAATTTCTGTCTCTGTCTCTCCTCTCTTTCTGTCTCCCACTCTCTGTGGACTTTTGTTTAGCTATGCTATCATGAATTAGTTTGTGAAGGACACTTTGTATGTAACCATTTCTGTGGTGGATTTTATAAAAACTGAAGGTTTCTGTAGTAAGTTCATGTGCTTGTCTAAGTTGTAGAATCTTAGATATGTAGAACATTTTGTAAACGTAGTACAATCTACCATTGTAGAATATGTTACAAATATAGAAATTCTACAGAAGTAAAGCAGGCTACAATTGTACAGGTGTAGAACATGCTACAAATGAATACCGTTCTATAATTGTTGTACAATCAACCAGTATGGAACACTCTACAAAGATAGAATCTGATACAAATACATGCCAGCCTAACTTTAACTGAGGGACTTTTATCAAGAGGAGTTCTGTGTATAGAATGTGGCTATAATTGTTTGGAGGTTTTTCCTGTTTATTTTTTAAAATGCCTGGCTATATTTATGGTAGACATGTTGGGATGTTATTTTTATCTCCATCTTGAATCAGTTCATCTCTTTTAGACAGACAAGCTAGAATTGTGATTTTCATCATGTGATAGCTTACACAAAAATCAGTTGTTAATCTTGACCACAATGCAACATATTTCATCACTGTGATGTGTGATATTCATTTATTGTTAATTTCATTTAAATACTTTGGTGCAAATTGCTGCTTTACATTTGTTAGGTATTTGCTGTTTACTTGAATATTTTTATCGCTTTTGGAACCTGGGAAAATGTTTTCTTTTCTACCACTATCAAACTGAAGGTTTCAGGCTAATGGGGCAATGGGATGCCTAAATGTAGACGGGCACCAGTCAAGTCAGGTGTTTCCTTACTCCGCTACACAATAGGCTTAGCAAGCCAGCAGAGGTGTAATCAACTGCTACTACACTTATAGACAATCAGACAAGTACAAGAATTCAGATGTTAAGGAAGTATATTTACAGAAGCTGGCATACTTGATAGAGCAAGAATACAAGAGGCAAATACTACCAGCTTGCTTCACTTCTTAGACACCCAAATGTCACCCTTGCAACAAAACAGCAAAAGATTAATAGCATCTTTGCTCTACTTTAAGCTGCACACCATCAGTGCCAAACATGGACAACGAGTAGGGCACTAGAACAGTAGATAACTACCTGTGAAATGCACTGTCTCTGTAAAGTCGCAGGAAGGACAGAATTATAAATATCAGCTTTAGAGCGAAAGTTGGAACAAGACCATATCTCAGTTATATCGACAAACAAAGAATTAAATGGTTCTGCCACCTAGTGAGAATGCAGCCAGAACAAACTATAAATGAGACTTTTTACAGCAGATCATCTTGGAGGAAGGCAAGGGGAAGACCAGGAAAGAGATGGTAATTGCATTTCCTGCTTCATAGCACACAGGCCATCTTCATAGTTGCTCCGATCCTGTGCCAACGAAAACCAAATACCCATCACTGTCTCTTATCAATAAAGTCTCAGCAAAGCCAAGAGCATACACAAGTATCAAATGCATAAGGCAGCCGCCAGAAGTGCCGATACAAACAGTCTGACACTAGAAATGCAGTTTGTTGTCAATGTAAGTAGCAGTTACAACAGATCAGTAATTGCACATGCACCTAATCACATAAGACACCACTGTAGGTGTCTACAATCATGTGTTACTAAAACTGAATTATGGCTTGCAATTAACACTCAGTACCTCTTTTATAAAGGGCTTAGCAGCTAGACACTCGCCCGTCAGTCTGAATGCTTAAGGCTCAGATCTGCAACGAGACCGATTTTTCATTAAAATTGACCTTGGCTCTGAGGCTGACCCAGCTTGAAATGTGTAATGTGTACAAGGGTAATGTTCTAGAAAGTAAAGGTGGCCCACATGGGTTGACCACATCGCCTGTCAAGAGTCTATAAAAATGTACATCTAGTTCTGGCTTTATGCTCAATGCACCAAGGCATAAATTAAATGGTCCTTTCCTTCTTTAAAAAAATATATATATATATACTTATACCAATTTTATGACAAGATTACACTGATACTTATCATATTTTGCCACTGCCTGTTATTATTTCAGTAATATATCCAAGCCTGGTCTTATAATCAATCAAGTGCCATCTCCACAGTGAAGGTTGCCTGCAATGAATCTCCAGCATATTTTGTTTGTCTCTGTCACAGACATTTGAGACCCCAGCTAATCATGAAGCTAACTGATCATTCTTTAGGTGTCTGTCTTTCATCATTCACATTAATTCGAGGGTTTTGGTCTACAGTGTGACTGAAAAAGAGGGAAGATTTAGTGTGCAGTATAGAGAACACACGCCCACAACTTCTTGTACAATCAAGACCGCAGATAGATTCATTTGGGGGTGAATCCAGGTACCCTACAAAATTTATCTCTACTCCTTTCTTTAGTTTTGCTAGAATAAAAATATATTTTCACAAAAGATATTGTGTACATCTTTCTTTATTTAATGCTAGTATTAAAATATATTGGTAAGCCTCTGCAGTGTAGCGGCTAGTAGCTCAACTGCAGAAGCGAAGGTCTTAAGTTCAGGTCCTGGCGGAGCTGGACTTTTTTTTTTCTTTCAAAAAAGAAACACGGCTTTCTGGTTACCCAGCCTTAAATGGGTACCGGCAAAGTTCCAGGGAGTAAAGACGGCTGGCGTGATGTTGACCACATCACCCACCATTTGCCAGTTGGTCTATAAAATATAAGGCTAGCCCTATGTGCCCAAAATGCCTGAAGGTGTGGAAAAGGGTCCTTTACTTACTTACTATTTATATATATATATATATTGTCACTGTATAGAAAGGTTCTATACATCTCTTTGTTTGCTTTGTAATAATATTGAACTTTCTTATATTCACAGGAGTGTTATTGACTTCTTTCATTACTCACTGCTGTCATTTAAAAAAATTTGTTTCATTCATATACAGTAAATATCATCTTTACTAGGTATATTAATTAAACTGGGTTCCCCTATTAAACACAAATCTTCTTCTTAAAGACCATGCCATTTGGCGTTAACAGTCATGTCTATCCACATCCTTCTGTCTCATGCACTTTCAGTCAAATTTGACACAGATGATCCTCCTTGCCATGATGTTAAGTTGTCCAGCATCCCCCTCTCTCTGTCTCCCTTTGCCTTTCTTCCCCTCTAACTTTCCTGCTGTCACGATGTACTCCAGTTCTCTCTTTCTCATGACATGACCAAAGAATGTAAATTGTCTCTTTCTGATGTGGGCAATCAGCTGTCTTTTTAAGTTAGTATCTTTCAAGACATATTCATTACTCTTTTTATCTGTCCAGGGTATTCTCATCATTCATCTATAAAACCACATCTCTGCAGCTTCCAAGTAAGTTTTCACTAATCTACCAACTGTCCATGATTCAGGATAGAATTTATGTAGCTTTTAAAAATTTGTTTTCTTGTCTCCATTGACACAGAAAGATTGCATATACTACTTTATTTACATTGTACTAATTTCTGTTGTGAAGAACAATCTGTTTTATCTCCAGTAATTTTTTTTTGCTTAACTCTTCGAGTCCCAGGGGGTTTAGCATCACAGGCCCAGGGGGTAGTAAATAAAGTCATAAAATTGGCGCATCATGCGTTCATTGGGCTTCTAGGTATGAAGCCATGAACGTATAATGTGTTCCTTGAGACTCAAAGAGTTAAATTCCTATTTGAATAAGAGAAATTTTTTTTTAATAAGAACCAGTTTTTGGGTGACTAGTGAATTCTCCCTATCAGATCTGCATTGTATACTTATATTATTGTATTTCTTTCTTTACTTCTTACTAACAGTTAAGCAGGTTTCTAAATATATAAACCATTCCTTGTGTCTTTATTGTTACCTAAGTGTACAGGAAATAGATCTGTGTGTATTTGATCTGAATTTGTCTGAGCTAATTCTCTAGGGGAAACTGAATCCTCAAAGCAAAGTATAAATGTTGCACTTTTTATGTATTTCCCCTCCATGACTACAGCCTGTACATTTTACACTCAGTATCTCAAAAAAAAAAAAGCATTTGTTCAGATACCAGTCCAGTGGAAACAAATTGCAGATACCCCATTCAGCTAATAAAACAATTATATTTGGGGCTCTCTGTGATAAATTCATGAGGGATTCTATTTGTGTGCATTACAGAAGTTGGGCGGCCATGTTAAAATTGTCATTATAACGTCACCGATTTTGTCTGCTCCATGACGTTGTGTGCTCAACACTCTTGACATCCTTAATAACACTGACAAGTTACAAGACAATGGCATG